AGAGAAAATGTGGAATCCTCGACGGCTCACAATCCTATGGGCCTCCGCGGCCTGTTACAGGGGTAGCTTTACCTTTTTGTCCGGAGATAAAATAGGAACGTTTATTTTGTGTTATGAGGAATTTTCTCTCGTTTGAAGTTATCATACTGCATTCTGGGAGGAAGACAGTTCCAAAGAGTCACACAGTTACTGGTCATCAGATCGGCCGTCCCTGCGCATGCGTCGTAGGATTGCCGAGGTCAGTCATGTGGACACGTGGAACCCTGCAGAAATGTAACCCAGGAGGGTACACGTGTGCTATAGCGAAACTTATCTCCCTGTCCCATACCTGAAACGTTTTTGAGGTTACATTATACTTAATTAAATAATTTTCCTGGGGAGTAAGGCAAGGCTGACAACCTTACCGCCATCTTTGGCCCGATTGTCTAGATAATGTGGGACCCTCAGCGTCTCACAATTCTATGGGGCCTTCACGGCTTGTTACAGGGTTAGATTTACTTTTACTCTTTTTTTTTTTTACTTTACGTTATACTTCAAGCTTTATGGAAGAAAAATTTGTGTGTTGAAGGAAGTTTGAGGCACGGTGACGTGGTGACTTTGGCTCCCGTCGTATGCTGAAAATAGAATCTAGTATCTCTCTGATGTAGACGTAGACATCCACGTCACTACCTGAAGATGACGCATACTGAACAATGTTTTAGACACGATACATGACATTTCATTACATTAGAAACAGATGTTCAAACGCGACTTAGAATTTGGTAGCAGAGAAACTTACGTGCCCTCAACAAGTACGGCAATTCACACGCCACAGTGACTGTTGATACTGTTGTGTAACACACTGCAGAGAAACGTCGATCGCCTTTTCCTCTGTAATGATGCTTTGCATATATCTGCAATTCAATTAAGGAGAAATCATAACAGATGTGTTGCGAGAAAGATGAAGCGGAAAGAAACAGAACCCGAGTTTTACACTGACATCATGCAGTCGTACTTACTACCTCCATCTTCACGGTCGAAGTATAGGTCGAGCGTCATAATTCAATTGCTTTTCTTCATATCCTAACCTCAGTCACAACAACATGACCGACGAAAGAACTTGTGAGGTGCGAGAGACAATTTAGGGTCCTCACATGATGGATTGTAACAGAACCATCAGAAATAAGACTTTTCATTAATTTTCAGAATGAGAAAAAGTATGGCGATAGTGCATTAATATTCATTCAGTTATCAGTTTAGTCGGTCTAGAAAACCGAGATTAGCGGCCGTGGGGATCCGTTGCGCCGACCACGTGATACCCTCTATCCGCAAAAGTTGGCACTAAATTCGCCGACAAGCTGCGGTCGCTCGGCCGATAGTGTTCGCCTGCGGACTACAGGCCACGGAGTTTTATTAGTTAAGTATTTATAAATATTATACCGTTGGATCTATGGAACTGTCTTCTGTATGAAGACAAATTGTTAGCATTCATAGAGAAGCACAGAGCAAGTAAAATTGAATCAGATGGAGTTTTGAATAAAAATTTGTTCATATGGTCATATGATATGGGGCGAATAAGGATTATAAAAATATAGTTCGTAAGTTGACAATAATCAATCACGTGACGATGATGCACAAGCATGAAGATGCAACTGCAAAATGTGTATATAGTCAGAGTTTGTATTTGAGCAGTAGTTTCTCCCCAGAAGCATACTACTCTCACTACAGCCGAACCACCTTGCTGACTTTGTATTTATGAGGTCGCCGCTTCAGATCTGGGCCACGAGACCGAGCACTTGCGCTGAAAATTTCGTTTTTGTGCTCAGTACCTTCAGAAGAATGTCAGCATAGTATTCTGTACCAGGCAACGGTCGCTTCCTTTCTCGTCCTTCCTAACTCATCATTCATTAATCGTCTCATCCTTGAAAGGTAAATATCTAATGAGCTGATAACTTCGTATATGTGATTTGAAAACACTACTGCTGCTGCTGCTGCTGCTAGTAATAAAAATCAATTTATAATTTGTAAGGTGCTTACAGAAGCAATGTGACGTGACTCTAATAGGCTGCGATCCTGTCACCATGTACGCGTGAGTCCTGCGCTCTGACCCAACGACCGAAATTATGCTTTTGTTAGATATGCCTATATACACGTATATGCATTGCCTCATCACAGCAACTAAAGACTGGAAGCTTATGGAATATGAAAGCGAGCTTTCTGGGTGTGTACAGAATTCTTTGGCGCATTGCAAGACTGAGTATCCTAGTAATCAGAACGAAGCATATAGCAGAAGGAAAGGTGACCAATTTTAGGAAAGTTGTATACTAGGTTTTCTGTTAGAGAGGAAATATTCCTGGACTCTGAGCATATGAGCTACATACGTGAAGGAAAGCTGTTTGAAGTTCTTTTTCGATTTGTCGGTGTAGGGAACCGAGTCGCATACTTCTTATAACAAAGAAACTGTCACTATCGAAGGGTTCAAGGTTTTCGCCGAGTTAATTAAATAAATTAATGGCGCGAGAGTCTCTGGTGCCTTCCCGTAACGACTGGAATGTTCTCCATTAACGAGGAAGCAGTTACGTGCACACAGAATGTGACATTGTTTCACGTCACGGCCGCAGCTGTGGCTACGGCTCTTCATGCAAATCTACTGAGCGGGAAACGTGGTACTGACGACAGTCTGGATCTCACAGCTGACGGAAGGCATTTTGTTTTGTTATGTTATGTTCCTTGTCATTCCTGAAATGACACAGATTCGCTACAAGCATTCATGGCCGCACTCGGGCTGACGAATATAATTCAGATTGCTACACAAAGACTCATTTCCCTTTTGATAATTTTATACAATTTACAGTTATATCTTTGTAATTATGTACATTTTTATGACTGTCGTATGTCATTTGAATTTAAAAACACCTCATCCATGGTTTGTAAAGATGTGGGTATCGGCCACCAAAGGGGTTGCGTTCTACTATAGGGTGATCATCGGATTTTAAACAGTTATTTTGAAATGTAGTTGTATTCAGCACAGTTATGGCATGCCAGTAAGGTTTAATTGAGATATTTTCGGAAAAAGTAGCTGCAACCGGAGAACATATGGCGAGCATTGGTCGTGATGGTACAGAAATACTCTGCAACATACTGTGTGCATAGAGATGTTCCAGAGATGTTTAGATATGCGGTTCACTGCGCAGGGTGTTGGGCTCCTGCAACAATGTGCAGAACTACACTTTTCGCTGACCATCAACAATTAAGTGTCACGTAAATATGTATGTATTATTATGCGGGGTCGCAGCGCCACAAATTTTGAAACCCCCAGATTTAATCAGCACAAACAAGAAAACTCCGTAGAATGACACAATTTGCAGTTGCTGTTTTCCATTTAAAAATTCGCCGTACAAAGTGAAATGAGTCTTCTTTCACAATATTTGTTTCTTTCACGTGGAAAATTCCGTAGACGAAACGGGACAAGACACGTGAAATATATGCTGATTTTTACAGAAATTATGAAAGTATGTATGAGACTTAAAACCGACTGAACATCGAAACATAAAAGGTCGAGAAGTACTCGTATGTCTTAAATAACCTGGTTCCTCAGCCATTGACTGCCAAGTCCCGATACAGAACTACCCGTTCAGAACGCTAAAGCAGCTGCGCAGAAACACCAACGACACGTCCTCAGACGATTATAAACCGACAGCATGTATAGGCCACGTTAAAGGCTTTTCTTTCTTTATGTGAAAGTAAAAAGTACAAGTGTCGTTAGGCTGGAAAGCTCATCTTTCCGGAAAATACAGTTTTACACCACTCTTTAATTATTCTTGCATAAAAACATGAAAAAAAAACACTTTTTTTTTCATTTATGCATAGATCTTTGAATTTGAACTTTCAGACTAAAACGTTGTAGGTTTCCTCACCTCCCATGTGTTTGCCGAACACGAAAGCAGAATACCGCTAAAGCGAAAATCCAATTTTCGATACCAACCTGATCCAATTCCACGCCCCCCCCCCCTCAATCCTCACAACCTGTCCTCGCAAGATCGTTCTTATCGTGGCATCTCTTGCTCGAGCGCCCAACTGAACATGTCACAAAATACTTAATCCCCCCCCCTCTTCAAAATTTTCTATGCATTCCTCGCCTGTCCCATCCTATCCCCCTACAGTTGCCTATATTTNTTATGGCGCAGCCCTTTGCCTATATTAGTAACAGGTATAAGTCACAAACCGTATTCTGCATTGCGCGCTCTCTGTACTTTCTTGCGTTCAGTGTGGCGCGCAGGTACGCCTTTGGTTATGACTCTCCTTTTGTTAGATGAACTGCCCGGGTTAGGAACCCGTGATCGCGTGTGGAAGTCGTGCTTATTCAGCGTGCAGTGCATTTTCGCTTGTTGCGGCTTGTGATGCGGCTTCTTCGCTTTGTCTCCAACACAAGCCCTAAGGAAAGTTGAAATTTTGGGAAATAATACGAATTTGTAGAGATTTTCCAAGATCCTGTGCTGGGATAATCTCAGGCAACCACGTGGCAATCCAGAGATATGCTGCAGAGACTGTATAAGAGATTCAGTGTTTTTCGTACATAAGATTTCTTATGCTGTACTTAGGTGTGTGAAGTTGCTTTGGAATCGAAGAGTTTGGCTGACACATTACGCGATGTCCATGTTGTACACGCAACTCAGTAGAAGACGAGACATGAGAGACAGAAGGTCGTAAGAGCCAAACCTAATGCTGAGAAAAACGCAAGTAAGTTTTGAGCTTTAAGAGCTTTCTTGTGCCTTTTAGTGCGTATAAGTAATATACACGTATATTTATTGCACAAAATTCCCCTTGCTTGTTTACATTTGTACATACATTATTTCATTAGCCTTTCTTCTTAACTGTAAGTAAAACAAAAATGCATTGCTATCAGTACATTGCCTTTTAGCATTACTTCATTTAAAACTTTTGATATGACAAAGGTTACATTAGCTAGAAAACTTCAACAAATTTCGCCTAAAAGGCGCTTACGACCTTCTAATTTTCAGGTGACGAATCCAAGTCGGAAAACCCCACCCACGTCAGTCAGGAAAGCCATAGCCCGGTTGAAGAGCCAGGGGCGGATGCAGGTAAACAAAAGTTGAGAATTTCATGGGTGGGAGTGGGCATCCAGTTGACTGGCCATTTCTCAGGAGGCGCAGTTCTTTATTACTACATCAGAGGTTCCAATAGCCTACAGCATTCACACACCACAGTTTAACATCATTAGGCACAACCTACGTTTTCATTCATTTATACATACTAAAGAACTGTCCTTTGAAATCTCAACGGAAAAATTTATTTGGTTATTTTTTTTACCCATAACACTTCGAAAGATCCATCTTTATGTATTGTCGTCCTTTAAATCATGATTTCAGTAATATGCATGCTATGAACATGAAAAGCTCTAGGAAGAAAGCTTAATGGAACAACAACGATTACAGTCAAGAAATACTTGATTCCTGTCTGAAAATTCTGGCACTGTAACATGAAATGGCGGCACCGTGTTACCGACTGAAACAGTAAAGTTTATTGCTGCTGTCTTCTGTTCCTGACATAAGACGCTGAGATTATTTTTGCATTTGGTTTCTGCGGAAACAACAAACTGAAAACCGAATAACGGTCTCTTGCTTAGACTACTTTTGTTCTATGTGAGAAATAATACGAGTACACTCTCGCTAAGAACCCACAAAGGGGAACAAATTAACCGTTTCTAAACCAGATCAAGGTTTGTCGCTTTGTTAGCAAGTGAAGCGAACCTCTCTCGGTTGATGACACCTTCAGGAAACCGTTTACATCAACGAAAGATGTAGATGGAAGTAAATCTTTGGCTTCAGTTTCTGAAATATGGGGCACATGGAAAGTATTTTTATCATAAAACAATCGACTTCCATATTTCAAAGTGCAGTGTATGTAAGGTACATATTTTTATGTACGTATATCCATCAGTGTCTCCTTTCTCCTGCACCCACATGTTTTAAAGGTTACTTTTGTTGATTTTAACGTATCGTGTTAACACAAATCAGGAGTAAGATCTAAAAGCTTGTGACGATGGTATGCTAATCAGTTATTGTTTTTTTCTGGACCTTATCTATCGTCCTGTTTTTATTTAAACACCACGTTTCGGAGACTGGATTCTATCTCCGTCTTCGGGTGAAAGTTACTCAGCTGCGCCCAATCGATGGAGCTAGTCCCTATCTCCGGAAACCAACATCAACACAATATAGGATATATAAACCAATCACATCCAAAATCATCTGCGAGAGTTAAGATAAACATAAAAATCATTAAAAACACCCCACACATGAGACCTAGCACCTATATCCATGCACTACTTCATGGCTCTTTTTGTTAAAACCAGAGTATCATCAGAACAGAAATCACCACTAAAGAGACAAATTCTCTGGATGGTGCCAACATAAGGTCATAATTTTCACTTTAAGGAATCAGCACTGGACACAGCAGACCACAGACCCACTAAATGGTTCAGATACGGTGACGGTTTGGTTTGGCCAAGTGGACCAGAAAGATTGCAGCAATTTCTTCATCACCTCAAAAGCTTTCGTCCTACCATCAAATTCGCAATGGAAGTTGAAGCTAATAATACCCTTCCGTTCTAGGACATCTTGGTTATAAAGAGGGGTTCGACACTGGCCACGGAAGTACCAGAAATCTACAACCATCCGCATCACGTGAAAAGGGGAGTCGTTCTTAGTTTAATTAGTCGAGCCAAGGTCATATGTCAGGATCAGAAGGATCTCAGCAACGAAATTAGGAATATAAGACATGATCTGGTGCTTAATGAACAAGAATTCGTTGACTCCACGACGAAGCCATCGAGAGCAAACGTCTTTCATGTACAATCTACTATGACATGGTCATTACCCCAAATATTAAGGGTGGCTCCGAGAAATTCAAACGCATTGGAAACCGTTTCGATGTCAGGACAATTTTCAGGACACTTCATGGGACACTGATAAAATCTGCACCAGTTTGGGATGCCCAGAAGCTGTTTAGATTTGCGGTTCACTGCGCAGATTGTTGGACTCATGCAACAATGTGCAGAACTACTGGTCGGGTTGGTGCTGGTGTCGGGAGACAGGGACTAGCCCTGTCGATTGGGCCCAGCTGAGTAGCTTTCACCTGAAAATGAAGAAAGAATCCAGTCTCCGAAACGTTGTGTGTTGAACTGAAAAGAGTATGATGGAAAACATGCAGAACACATTAGCTATACAAATCAGGAGGTTTGAAAGAGAGTGGAAGCTTATGGGATGAAAACCGTATGAAAATTGCCTCATATGGAGGGATGTTATTTGATATGCAACATGTATTGTGTTTACTGTTTATACCCCTCTCAAGGTTTAAGGATTAAAGTCAAACTAGTGTTTTTAAAGGTATGATATTGTGTGCGTGAAATTTCTGTACTATATTCCTTCGCCACAATAGGAAGTACACGTTCGCGGTTTCTTACAACATATTTCGGCTCATTAAGCTACCATCTTATGTTTGACTTATATTCAACCGTATTCGCCTGCTCGTATTCCTATTTTGGCCAGTGTTTATATACGTACTAGGGTTTTTTTAGTGATATTTAATGCCGTTGACACTAACTTCGCCGACAGGCGGCGGTCGCTCGGTCGGTATAGTGCGCTTGCGGACTAAAATCACGGAGTTTGTTTTGTTTTGTTTTATGTAATGCCGTTATGTATAGAAAAGCATGTTAGTTGACCTCTAATATTAAAATATTAAGTTATTAAAATTAAAAGCATATAAAATGATTTCTTGCGTTTATCTGGATGTAGCGTGTTGGTCTAGATATTTCTCTTCTGCTGATATGTATCTTTGGGATCCAACCTGATCTTTATTGATGTAGTGAGCATTTTGTTGGCCTGTAAGTATGTGATTGCGTTTTCGCCTTGTTTGTGTTCCTCGTACTTGGGAGAAGTGTTGTCAAGCACTACGCAGCATATTAACGAATTCAAGCATTAACGTCGGTTAGTTCAGAAAGTCCAGCTGAGGACGGCAAGACCGAAAAAGTGAACTCTCGAACAATTTTTGTTAATGTTTGAATAAATCTTCGCTGATGCACTGGGGAGAAAACTGTAGTGAGCTATGATGAATAAACTGCGGCAACTACTCTTAACTGCCCCTAAACTCGGCATTACGTGGATGTGAGTTACAGGTTTGGTGCCACAGGAAAGAGTGCACTCATTGGTTGGCTGCCTGAGGCAGAATGTTCACTTCAGATACACAATATATCATTCATTTTTCTGTTAATAAAAAGCAGGCAGTCCATAGGAATCCATTGATGCCTCTAGCCAGATATGTAGGTAACAACCTTAGCGTGTTTACTGCAGATAACAAGATGGCAGCTCGTAGCATTCCGGATTAGTTTCTGACGGCAAGATGTAAGCATTCCCTCTTTTTCTCAAAGAAGTATTCGTGTAGGTAAAGAGGTATACCTCAGAGGGGCTAATGTGGTTTCTAACGATTTGGGGTGCTTGTAGTTCATGTGCATGTCCTGAGGGATTCGAGGAGGTTTTAAGCGAAACATATATACTGTGACATACTTGTTTAAAGCAGGAACTGTGAAGCTAACAGAGGCAGCCGTTACTAGGGAACGGCACTGCAAACACGTCCGTTGTTAGACAACAGATTCGCAACACGCAACATTTTGTCCTCTACGCGGCCCGTGCGATATCTACGTGATGCAACAATAGAATGCCTGTTGGGAGATATGTTTTCTATGCAGTCCGTGCTGAGGCTACATAAGGAGTCGATTAAGCGTTGTGAGTTCGGCTACCCGTGTGGAGGCGAGGTCGAATACCTCCACCATGACTCTGCGAGTCGTAGGAGACGAAAAAAGGGAAGTCTCGAACCTGAGACAGTGAAATATTACCGCGAGTCCCAAAGAACTCCGACCCGATAAAGACTGCGCTGGCAAGGGCCAGTAGCATATACAATAGACAGACCCGTCCCCTCTTCAGAGAAGGCGCTCCACAAAAATAAGACCGTAAGTGTCAAACAGTAACGAATATCTGGCCGCGAGACCCAGATGGGTCTCGACATCAAGACTTACTGACTGACAGACAGTCGCAATGTGATTTTGGCTTTGACTTGTGAGTTCGGCAGCCGGTAGTCAGTTCAGCTCGGGAGCTGCAGTTAAGAGGTGCCAGCCAGAGAGGACAAGGAAGTCGAGGATGCTACACCGTTGGAAGCCGCTACCAAGCAGCGCAGTGAAGACCCGTGACTGAGAACATTAGTCTTTATGTGACAGTGATTTATAAAACGTAGTCACGTCTAGAGTCACACTTTATCACGTGACAGGATGTGTGTTTATGTATATAGATTTGATATAGTCAGATCACTTCTGCCTATGATGTTAAATGTACTGCATTAGTACCTATATTTACCTCGATAATTTTTCATCAAATTGGGATGATAATTAGTATGCATTTTCTAAGGGTAATGAGATAATCATTTTCTGTCATGCTGCAATTCTCTCAGACATCAGAGACCTGGGTTCGGTCTCATTGTAGTCCATGAGGGATTTGTGGCGGGAGTGGTATCTTGAAAGCAGGGTTTCCCCTGACACATCTGTTGAAGAGCCTTACTAGCCATAACCGTCTCGCTCCGTAGATCGGGATTCACATCTCGTGTCTCACTTTGCGGAAACTCGATTCGATTTCTAAACTAGCAAGTTATTGTTAAGGATCATCAAAATGGAGAGGATGAGATGTTCAAGGTCAGTAGTACGCATGGAAGGCGTGGAGGCTCACACAAGATTTTAATCAGAATGCCTGAAGGGAAGAGATCACTACAAAGAGCTAGACAAAGTTGGAAAAATAATGTTATAATCGACATGAAGTCATAGATTTGGAAAATGCATGTGGAGTTAATTGTAGTTTTCAAACCCACAGATCCCTCCCCCCACGCACACAAAGCTTGCAGAGACCTGATATATACAGTTCTGATTCCTTAACAAGAATTGACCTGCAGAAGAAAATAATGGCGACTTTGCTTTGAACACAGTAAGGATCACGGCAATACAGGCTACATCTGCAGGGAGCAGGGAATACGTGTAAAGTAT